GGGGCCTATTGGAAGACCTAGCGGGGTGTGGACAGGACTCGGGCTTGGGCCGGGGCCTCACCGGCAAGTGGGACCACTCCTCTCCAGAAGGCACTGGCCCTGGTTACAGTTAATGGCGCCGGCCACACCTGAGGTGCAGTTGGTGACGCAGCGGAGCCTGTTCTCCTCCACCAGGGGGAAGTAAAAATCCTCATAACCGGGGGCAGCGGAGCGGCGACAGATGGCTGTGGGGTGGGGACAGGAGGTGCAGACAGACAGGGATCTTACCCACTCTGCTCAGGGGCCAGGTTATAATTATTCTGAAAATGGGTGGGAGGACTACATTTCCGATATAGTGGGATGTCATGGGGTAGACCCTGGGATTAGATGAAGGGAGGGCAGGCCCCCAAGATCCTCACCCTCTTCTCACCTTTCCTGCAGCCCAGGAGGGGCAGTACAGCCCGGGCTGTACTGCCCTTCCCAAAAGATCTTGCCGCCCCAAAAGATCCCCCCATCCTCCCCAGGGAATTTCAATGGGCCGATGTCCCTGGTGGGAGGGGTCTTGGCCTCCTGGGGCCACTCAGACCTTTGCCCTTCCCTTACCTTCCACAGTTAGCTCTGTCCTGGTGGTGTTGTCCACCTTGATGGAGTCAGGCTTAAAACACAGGGCTGCTGGGACACAGGCACAGGTGGAATTGGGTAGGGAAGGCCAAGGGTTCAGGGCCAGGGAAGCAGGGCAAGCACAGGGAAGGACACCAAGGGCTCTGTCAGTAAGGGGGATGTGTGGGTGGGCTGCAAAGGAAGTCTCCTTTGGCCTCCCTCATGTCCCCCGAATAATTAGGGATCCTCAGCCATCCTGGAAACCTTGAGAACTGCCAGGGGGTATCTTTCCCAGCACCCAAATTCTGGCAAGTTTCTCCTTAGCCCCATTCTTTACCTACCTAGTTGGCTGTTGGCCTGTGTCCCTTCTCAAAACCTGCTGGAGGTACCACAGGGTTGACACCTGAGCCCGGGAGGCCCCTGTCTAAGCTGGAGCAGATTGGGATGGTGGTTGTGACCCTGACCCATCCCTCCAGCCTGAGGCCACCAGCCTCAACTCACTGTCATCCTGGCAGTGATCCTGGTTCTGGCTGACATTCTGGAGCTCCTCCTTCAGGACTGTCTTCATCTTCTCATACTCACTCTCCAGGTGGACACTGAAGGGCAGCTCCAACAGAACCAGATAGTCCACCATGATGCTGCCATTCCTGAGATCAAGGAGGTCAGAGAGCCTTAAAAGGTGTCCAGGCCTGGGGCACATAGATCATTAGTACGACACAGGACAAACCATGGGTGCACAGGTGTTGGGAGGAAGGGGAGCAGAGGCAATGAGTTGAGATGCCAGACACATTATATCCAGAAGGAGCTGCCAGCATCCCTGAGGTGGTCAGCCTGGGAAGGCAGGACAAGGAATGATTGTCATTCTCTTGCATTGCCTCAAGCCATTATCAAACCAGGCCATCCTGAGCTCTCTACCTTGCTCATGCTGACCCACCCAGCAGACCAGGTGCCAGCCAGAGAGAGGCCAGCTACCATTCAGATACTAGGCTTTCCACCAACCTGAATGCACCACCTCGCTGCATATCCCATGCAATCCCTTTCCTTCCAATGCACTTAAAAAGTAGGGATGGTCTCCCTGTTACAGAGAAATTATCCCAGAAAATGATCTCAAAAGTCCCCCATGGAGTGATTCCCTTGCATACTCCCTTTGTCCCTCTCTTTGTGAACTCTGATTCCAAAAGCAAGTGATGGCTTCTCCAGCCTTTCTTCACACCCCCTCCTCCCACCTAACACTACTTCCACAGCCCCAGAAGAGTCTCCTACCTCAGGGACAGGATCTCCACATCCTTGAACTCCTGCACGTTTTGGTAAACCTTCTGCATCTGAAATACCAAGTATCCCTGGGCTCACATCTGAACCACTGTAGACCTAAGGTCACCAGAAGTCCAAGCTCAACTCCAGGTGAGAACCCTTGAATCCCCTTATATTTCCCCTCACCTGATTCTTGAAGGTGTTGCTGAAATCCATGTAGGCCTTGGAAGTGTTGTCATTGAGCTCCGGGGAGAATTCCTGTTGTATAGACACCTCCATGCCCACTTCAGCGTCCACCTTGTCTACACACAGCATGCCCTGCTCTAGTCACTTCACCTTCCACTCCTGTCTGACATCACCACCACCACCCCAACCCAGAGGTTCCTCCCATGGCCCCTCTTCATGTTCCCTGAGTACTGACTGAATAGCAGGAGGCATAGAGGTAGGAATTCTGGGATGAGTTATCCTGAGATGGGGGCGGGGGGAATAAAGTTAGGACGCACAGAAGTCAAGCCTGTGGTCTCTCCCTTGTCTGCCCCAGTGAGAGGCAGAATAATGATCCCCAAAAATGTCTATTTCCTAATCTCCAGAACCTGTGAATATGTTATGCTATGTGGCAAGGAGGAACCAAAGTTACAGATGTAATTAAGGTTACTAATCAGCTCACTTTAATATGTAAAAATTAACATCAATTATCCAGGTGGGCCCAATATAATCACAAAGTCTTGAACAGTGGACGAGGGAGTGGGAAAGGTCAGAATCAGAGGATGAGGTGAGTAAGGAAAAAATCACATATGCAATGTTGCTGGTTTTGAATATGGAGAGAGGGGCCCTTGAGACAAGGAATGTGGAAGACTCCAGAAGCTGGAAAGGGAGAAGAAATGGATTCTTTGAAAAAGAGCACAGCCCTGCCGAAACCTTAATTTTATTCCAGCAAGACCCATGTTGGACTTCTAATCTACAGAACCATAAGATAAGAAATTTGTTTTGTTTTAGCCACTAAGTTTGTGGTAATTTGTTAGAACAGTAATTAGAAACTAATATAGCTCTGAGCAGCCCAGACTGGGAGGAGGCCCCAAAAGTACTGTGGTCCCAGCCATCTCCTGAAGGTGAGGGTAGAGAAGAGGCATGAGATGGGATAAGGGAGGGCATGGGAGAGAAGGCAGGAATGGAGGTATTGGGCAAAAAGGCATGGGTGCCTCCAGGCCAACCACAGAACTGGGCCCAGGGAGATAAAGTGCATAGGGTAGGACCCTGGTTACTTACCCAGTTCCACCTGTTCCACAGCAAACTCACAGTGGATGCCATAGAAGGTACTGGGGCAGCGGCACTTAAGGCCATCCCATTGACCTCCATTCTGGCAAATTATCTCCTGGAGCTCACAGTGGTCCCCAGAGAACCCCGAGAGGCAGAGGCAGTGGCCCTGTATCCAGGTGCCACCATTGTAACAGGTGCCTGGGCAACACAGGAAGAAAGGGAAGTTCAGGATAGAGCTTGACATTGGTGACATGGGAATTTACTAGGGGAAAGAGCAAATCCAACCTGAAGTGGTGGTCAATCTAGACTGTGTGGTCATCTGAGTAGAGGTCGAAGTTGTCCTGGGTGATGTAAAAGTGGTGAGAGTCTGAGTGGTGGCCACTGATGTCTCTGGAGTTCTTGGGATGGTTGGGGTGGGGTGCGTAAACTTGCTTGATGTCATCATGGCAGTTGGAAAACTGCTGCTTGGTTTCGTGGTCAGTGGGAGGCTAGTGAAGTTGGACACATGTGATGTGGTTACAGAGTAGGTGCTCATCCTGGTCCCACTGGTGGGTCTTGGTGTGCTCGTCAAACTTGTATTAATGGGGACAGTTCCAGTGCTGATAGAACTAGGAGCGTCAGTTGTAATGCTTGTGGGGTCAGTTTCCTGAACTGAAGTAGAAGTGTCTGTATGTGTGGGAAATACAATTGTCATACTGGTGGACTGAGAAGAGGTGGTGGCCCTCTCAGTAGTAGAAGTAAAGACTGATAATGGGATGGTGGGTGTAGATGTAACTTCATTTGAATCAATTTCTATGCATGGAGTAGTGGGAGAAGTAAGCACTATTGTAACAGATATAGATTCTGGACAAGGGGTAGTGGGGGAAATTACAACACTGCTGGTTACTTTAGTAGAAGAGGGTATAAGAGAAGGCGTAGTTGGAGAAGTCCTTGTAGTTTCAGAGGAAAACGTAGGAAAACCAGTGACAGAAGAAGTTGTACTTATTGTACTGAGGGAATGTGAGGAGGAAGTAGTAGGAGGAGTGAGGTTAATGGTAGTAGTGAGCATTGAATTTTCACTAGTGAGGGAGACAGGAGAGGACATTGTTATATACGGTATTGAGGAGGAGACAATGGTACTAAAGGAGGTGGTTATTGCATTTGTGGATGTACTCATTGTGGGAAGAGATGAATTTGAAGAAACACTTGAAGAACTATGCAATGTTACCGAGGTGGGACTTGTGGCATTATTGATGGTAGCATTAACAGTTACTGGGTTAGTAGAGTGGGTCGTAATCTCTGTGGACACGGGGGTAGTGCTTGGGGTGAGAGTCGACA